GCTCATCAGCACGGTTTTTCACTTCGGTTATATTACCAATTTCCTTTATAATTTTTCATATGTTTTTTGGATTACCTTTGTTTTTAAGAAGCTGTTCTTGGTAATATTTATATTTTAAGTTTTTAATGATTTTGTTGCAAATATTTCTATATGATATGTACTCATTCATTTTTCACTAGAATATCATGGGGATGTTTTTCAAATTTCTTGTGCAATAAATTTCTTCGTTTAATAGACTTAACCACTGAAATAGTTATCCAAGGTTTCAAAGGTTGATATTTTGTAGGTATTCATGGAATTTTGATTGATGGAATTTCTGGTCGCGTAGTATTTATAACCCTGAACCGCAGTAGGCTTAAAATTATCATTTGTCCAACATTCTGAGAGCACCATTACATCAACTTTAATTCTTGTAGTTGCTAGGAATGCTAAAAACATGTCGAGGTTTTTGTTTATACTTCTAACATTGAATGAAACCACACTTAGATAGCCGCAACTCTTCTCCTTATTTAACAACTGTGCGCAGTTAGCTGAGTCATCCAAAGCTATACATTTTGGAGGGCTGAGTCTGTCAAGTTGGTCAATAATATATTTGCTACCTATGAAATCGAATGTTATTGGTAAGGTGAACTGGTCCTATCTTCAGAAGCTATTCTCTGAAGATTTTGCGTTTTGTATGTTTTTTCGTACAAAACACAAAGATAAAATAATGCAAACCTGATGCACCATAAAGACAGCAATAATAAATTTTCATTCTTGGTAATTGAATTATAATATTTTACCAAGTTCCCATATTCAAGCAATATAATATGAAGGTTGGATTTTTTAGAACAAGTATTTATTAACGGTACCTTTCGCATATATTCGATGGCAAGCATAAGTAATGTTATTTTTATCTTATTTTGAGTATCAGCTATTTGATTGACCGAATATATATAAATGAAAAGTATTTGAGGCTTGATAATATTTGATAAAACATTTATTTGTGATAGATTTCGAGAATTTATGGATGAAAATAACCTTATCGGTATAATGTTTAATGTATAGGTGTTTTATTTGGTAATATCTCTTTGGGTAACCAGATTTAGACTTTATTTGGTGTTTTAAAATTTTTGAAAAAAAATGAATCAATGTTATTACTATATAATATCGATTGATAATTAATGTTAGTACTACCAATTTGTAGTACTAAAATATAGTATCTGTTCTGTTTTTGATTGCACAAGATTGTTGCTTCATAAGTCAATGGTTTTTAATAAAGTGACATTTGGCGTGATTCTATAAACTTAAAACTAAATTTAACATCAGTCTCTCCTTTTCATTCTGTATAGAGAACGACAAGGATGCACTGTTGTCAATTTTAAATTTAGTTTTAGAGAATCATGTCAGAATCGACATCATTGTGTAGAAAATATGTATAATTTAGTTTCCTAATAAATAAAACATGTGTGGTATACAATATGTGTGAGGCGTTATTGTTATTATATAAGTGAGTTTTAAATATGTTTTTGAGTAGTTGAGGTGTTCTTTTTATATGTTTGTTATGGTAAGGTATTGTTTACAAAATGAAATAATAAATTTAAAAAATACAAGAAATCATTATTTTCATGCACTGCGTTTACGGTAGGATTACTTAGTCACTTTAACTTGTCCAGGTCATGATCGGAGTCTACACGTAAGAGTTTGTCTCCCTCAGATTTACGTAAGTATATTCTTCCAAACGACATCCAGCAGTAACGATAGCAATTATCTTTTGCAAACTTCCGTGCGGATGCAAAGAGTTTTCTTGTTTGTGGGGTCAAGCATTCGGAAATTAAAACTGGTGCCGGGGGGCCTCAATCTGCAGCTTGGTAGTATTAATTTTTTCTTTGTTTTCCCGATTAAATGTTTTTAGTGACTTAAGGATGTCTTCTTTCTTTATGACACTGTGGAATTCCACTATTATTGGTTTATAAAGCGTCTCTGACTTCGTATTGAGGAGGTAAACATCACGTATTTCGTTTGACTGCACGGATACTTCAAGAACCTCACCCAAATGTTGCAAATGCATAATAAGGTCACTTTTGGTCTTTGCATCCTTCCTAGGGATGCCACGCAGCTCAATTCGTGAACAATTTTGTCCTCTTTCTATTTGTTCGATTTTCTTTTCCAAGATTTTTATGTACTTTAGACTATTGTCTCGTTCAATTTCCAATTTATTGATTCTTTGTAATATCTCGTCATAATTTTTGGGGCCGTTCAAGTATTACGTAAGTAGATTTATTACAATTATATACCTCCTCCTCCCCCTTGTCAGCAAAAGTAAGCAAAGCTCTTACCCCTCCCCCTCATGCTTACGTAAACATTGGTACCTATATGCATTTTTTCTTGGATGTATTCTGTTTTTTTATTGATTCATAATTTTTCATGAGCTTCATGAGCAGCAGTACTTAAATAGGCTTAGTCCATGATGCTGACGTAATCGCCATCTCGACCCCCCCCCCCCCCCCATGTCATCAAAAATAAGCAAAGCAAAGACCCCCTGCCCCCCTATAGTGCTTACGTAATACTTGAACAGCCCCTTTCGACATAAATTCAATAGATGTTTGTATATCTTTATTTTGAGCCTTTATATCATTTACTGTATTGAGGATTACGGCCATTTTTTTATCTTGTTCAGTTTTCCACGAAGTAAACATTTGCGTAATTTCCTCTCTAACCTCCCTTATCCCTTTGTCGCTTCGTTTGCGCTTACGCACGGGTCCTTCCATTGTAGATGAGTCATTATCACTTGTATCTACGCTGGTTATACTCGCGCTGCGACTAATGGTCGCTCTCGGCAAAGACTCGTGCGCGCTCGCTGTCTGTCGGGACGGGGACGATAGTGCGAATAAAAAAGATTTTTTATTCACCTCATCAATTAATAGGAATTCTTTTTGTTCGGATGCCATTATTGTTCTTTAAATAAAAAAGAAATAAAATTCGGATGCATCTGACGCACTCTCGGTCATACGTCATATTCGTTTTCTCGGTTAAAATAGGTAGCATACTAGGACAATATCACTGTAATATTATCTATACAGTATTGTGACTCCGCCCTGTCCTTGAAATAAATGCCTATGGCCGAGCGCTGCGTTAGCACGCGGTAGGGCCGCCCGCCTACAGTATTTTATGTAGTTTTGTTTTTATCGCGAGTGTAAGTAGATTACTCGTTTGTCTCTTTTTTCATTCTAACCACTTATTCATATATTATTCCAGATATTTTGCCCGATGGACAAATCGAAATACCTAAATATTAGAAACAAATTACGTACGTAATTAGTAGATAGGTATATAAAAAATATTCTATAAAGGTAAGATACCTTTCCAATATTTCAGGTAATTTAAAAAATGATATCTCTGGGTGTGTTATTGAAGAGTTCAAGCAACCAAAATCAGCAATTGTGCTGTTGTACGATATTGATCGTCGTTTGTTCTTTTCCATACTAAATTATGTAGGTATCTACTTAATTCAATCAAATATTTACAATACAAAACGCAAGTTTAAGCACGGCTAACTGCATAAAAAACAATTCACACCGTTCGGTCGTCGTTGCGACACGGCTGCGCATTCGCGACTGGGTGCCCGGTAGAGAGTATATTGTTCTGTGGTGCCCGGCCCGCCGAGAGTGCCTCGAACTCGAGTGGCGTAGGTATGTATGACTCGCTTTCCGACCGTTTATATGAATGAAAATAGAATACTGTATGATATTACAGTGACAATATGGCGTCGGATTCGTGACGTCATTACCACTGGCCAATATACTGATGTACATTTCGGAATACACGCATTGTGCCACTATACTTATGTTACTCTTTGGTGCCCAGTGTAGCCACCTTGGTGGTTTTTCCACCAGAACTGGTGCTTTTTCACGGCTTTTAGTGGTATATTTTCATTATGTTTTTTTTAGTGTTTTTTTAACATGAAATCTAGCAACATATTTTTAAGGGAGAAATCCCCTAACTTTCCGAAATTTCATTGTTCTATGGTTACTCTTATCGTTACAGGGGAATTCCTAACGCGTTTTTGTCTGTTAAGGGCTTCCTTCAATCGTTCATTCTGTTTCAGGTATTAGGTTCGCGTTCATTGTGTTGTTAAAAAGTGTAAAAGTTTGATTTGATAGAAACGTTTGTAACAGTGTGTGAACTCCTGAAGCTGTATGTTTAGAGTATTCAATTATATGTAATTAAGGAAATTTTATTCAATAAAAAGAATTACATATAAAAGTATAGAAAAAATGGGAATCACTCGATGAATTCCAAACCTGGCTTAAACCTTTAGCAGGTGTTGATGCGAAGGCGTTTTGTTCATTGTGTGAAGCAGAATTATTAGCAAGACTAGTAAATTTGAGAAAACATGCTGAAACAAAAAAGAACAAACAAAAAATGCAAATTCTATCCGGCAATCAAAATATATCATTTAAAAAACACAAAATACTCTTTCAAAAATCCACTACAACCACAACCAAACATCTTCAGCTTCGATATCGGCTTCATTGACAGAAGCGTCGGCGTCTGTGAACGACGATGAAGTTATAGAAGATGTAACATTTAACAATATTGAATTTTAAATTTTACATTTTGTTTAAGATTTATTTCTTGATTATAAATAATGTATGTAAATACATATTTACCTGGTTTTATTTCATTCTCTAGTACTACTAAGGTAACGCTCGGAAAAGTTTTAAGTTAGTAAAAACAATATTGCCATTTTTTTTAAATAACAAAATTTTACTAATTTAGAACGACTGCGGGATACAGTTATTTTTCTAGCATCTCATACATATTCACTGGTTTTTTATTTAAATTAGGGTTTTTTGTTATCAGAGATGTAATTGTAATTTAGCGGATTTTGGTGTACTTTATTAAATCCAAATTTTTGAAATCTGGCGCTATTTTACCTTTGACTTGGCGCCTTAAAAAAATCCAAGGTGGCAACCAGTGGCAACACTGTTGGTGCCACTGCTTGTCACTGTCACTCACTTCACTGCACTGTCTGCGGATTCATTGTGCTAGCACCTACAAAGAATTATTGAAATGGAAGATAGTAAAACAACCGCATCTAATGAGGTTCCAAAAGAAAATGACGAAAAAAACTCTAAAAAACGGATTAAAAATAAGAAAAAACGTAGTGGAGGCGACGGTGATCATGGAGTATCGGCCCCGACCGATAGTGTAGTAGTCTCTCTGCCTAATGCTGGGGATGTTCATCAGAACATATCATTTAAAGATTTGAAAATGGCAATGGATGCATTAAATTTGCAACAAAAACCTGCCAAAACAACTGAGGAAGCATTACACAAATCTTATCAGTTTTGGTCCACTCAACCTGTGCCAAAAATGGATGAAAAAATTGTGTCTAACGAACCTATAGAACCTCCAAAATCGCCCGATGACATTAGAGCAGAACCATATACTTTGCCTGATGGTTTTCAGTGGGACACATTAAATCTCAACGAACCTTTGGTATTGAAAGAGTTATACACATTACTTAATGAGAACTATGTCGAAGATGATGATTGTATGTTTCGGTTTGACTACCAAACTGAGTTTCTGAAATGGGCTCTTCAGCCTCCTGGTTGGAAAATGGACTGGCATTGTGGAGTACGAGTGGTGAAATCGGGTCGGCTTGTGGGTTTTATATCTGCCATCCCAGCAGAATTAAAAATATATGATCAAGTACAAACAGTGGTGGAAATAAATTTCCTTTGTGTTCATAAAAAATTACGTGCTAAGAGAGTAGCTCCTGTTCTTATCAGGGAAATAACTCGTAGAGTTAATTTAACTGGCATTTTCCAAGGGGTTTATACTGCAGGCATAGTACTGCCTAAACCAATTGCTACCTGTCGATATTGGCATAGATCACTTAATCCTAAAAAGTTGATTGATATTAAATTTAGTCACCTGTCTAGGAATATGACGATGCAGAGAACTCTAAAGCTGTTTAAACTTCCTGATCTGCCTAAGACCCAAGGTTTTCGTAAAATGGAGCCCCAAGATTGTGAAAAGGTTGTTATATTACTCAACAGTTATCTGAGAAAATTTGCTTTGGCACCAATATTTTCTGAAGAAGATTTTAAACATTGGTTTCTTCCTCAAGCTGGAATTATTGATAGTTTTGTTGTTGAATCTGAAGGAAACATTACAGATTTTGTGAGCTATTACACATTGCCTTCAACAGTTGTATATCATCCTGTACATAAAACTTTGAAAGCTGCATATTCTTTTTACAATGTTTCAACTAAGACTCCCTGGACAGAATTGATGCTTGATGCATTGATTACGGCAAAAAATCTGGGTTTTGATGTTTTCAATGCTCTGGATTTAATGGATAACAAGGAGTTTTTGGAACCATTGAAATTTGGTATTGGGGATGGCAATTTGCAATATTATTTATATAACTGGAGATGTCCTACTATGACACCAAATAAAATTGGCTTAGTTTTGCAATAAATAATAGAGGAAAATAATAATTTGTAAATGCTAGCAAGTGTTTTCATTGTCATTTTGTGTAAAGTGATTTTTATTGGGAAATATAGTCAAAGTACATATTGTGAATTTTACTTTTACATCTTTCTATATTACATCATATTATCAAATACCATCGACTAGATTAAATTAGTAATATATCAAAACTATTAAATATTAGATCATTGCCATTATCATCCAGCTTGTATTGTTCTTGTTCTGTTACCTAGGGCTGGACCCTACCCTAGCTGCAGTCCAAATGCTTTCTGAATATAATCATTCTTCATGAGAAAATGGATCATTATTTCAAATATTTTATCCACAACATTGCTTAAAACTGCTCTAAAAGATTTTGGAACAGTTAGTTTGCCAGCCTGCCTATTACAAAACCTAGACTCTAATTAAACTTTGACTCAAACTGATGCTCTTACTTAGTGTTTTCAAAAGAAGACAGAGGCAACATCAGGTTTCAACCAAGACTAAATGTAGTCCGCGTTTTGGAATAAGGCGGCCAACGTCCTTATCATGGAGGTAAGAGAGAAGGAGAACGATCGCTACGTGCTAAAGCGTTAGAGCGCCTGTCCCTGAAAATTGTAGAGATTTTTCCGCTACCAGCCGCGCTGCCGTCGGTAAGTAGTATCTGTGAAGTTAGCTGTTTATGAGTACAAGTAGATGAAGTTAGTTGAACAATGTACGAAATTATAAAAAACAATTTATAATTTATTTATTATACTCTTTATTGCATCATATAGTTCAAAACAGAAAGTCAAATCCATAATTAGCAAAGGTCTCTATCATTTATTAATAAATAATAACATTGTTTTCTTTGAATGATATTATACATAGTCAGGTCAGGTCATAAGTATTATATTGTCACACAGTAAAAACTTTTCTTTTAGAATGCTGGCCACAAAAAAGTTTATTAAATTCGAATTTTGAATTGTTCAAGAAAAAAAATGTATTCTTTTTAGAATTTCACTCATTTTTAAATATGGAGTGGACACTTAAAGAAGACCGTGTTGCAGTTATTGCGTTGCATCGTTGCGGTTACGCACCAATTAAAATTTTTGACATACTGAAAAATTTTAATATAACCAAAAGATTCGTTTATCGTACCATTAAACGATACAATGAAGACTCTAATGTAGATGACAGGTCAAGAAGTGGTCGCCCTCAGTCTGTTAGGACTCCAGCAGTGATAAAAGCTGTGAAGGCGCGAATTCAAATAAATCCCAAACGTAAGCAGAAACTGTTGGCCCTTCAGATGGGGTTAAGCAGAACCACGGTGAAAGGGTGTTAAATGAAAACTTAGGGCTTCGGACATATCGAAGAAAAACAGGGCATCGTTTGAATGCTCGTCTAATGGACCTGAGACTGAAGAGATGCCGCGCTTTGTTGAAGCGGTACGCAGGAAAAAATATCGTGAAATCCTTTTTTCGGATGAAAAATTTTTGACCGTAGAAGAGAGCTACAACAAGCAAAATGATAAGGTGTACGCACACAGCAGGCCAATTATGCTCGCTAATTGTGATATTGTTTTGATGTCTATTTCACATTACGTATTATGCTCTCCGAAAAATGCGATATCAAAATGACATCAACTTATGCTATGATGATGATCAACTCTATAAAATGATATCAACTTAAATGCGTATTACGTTCAACTTTTTGACTTAAAATAGTTTCGCATAAACGTCAAAAATGTGATACAGGATATGATATTGATATGATCTTGATGTGACATAGGAATGTTTCATAATACCATATAAAAACAATGTCAACTTGGCATCAACATCATATTGACATCACATTAGAATTTTATTACTGAAGCATAATTGACCCACAGTAGTGAAGAAGCGAGCAACCGTATTCCACGTGTCCAACGAGTATGGTTACCATATGATAAGTCAAAAGTCCGGAGAAATGGCTTGATTTCCATTGAAAAATGCTGAGATTTTTTACAGTTTCAGAATTTTCTCTCAAACGTACTTTGCAATTTAAAAAAGTCGTAATATTATCGTTTATTCTCTGCTTATACTTTTAAATCAATATAATTTGAAGAGTTTAACATGTGGGGCATTATATGAAACCATAATTGAAGAAAAAACCTTCCTTAAAAATGTATCTTCACATATTAAGTATGATAAAACTGAATAATTACCTATTAGGATAATAAAGTACTGATTTTAATTATGTAATTATTACCAATAGAAGATATTTTTTAGTTTGTTTAACTTTTTATTAAAGAGATCTTTAAAACGTAAGCTGTATTTTCTTGGAAATTCAAAAAATCCTGAGATTTCATGAGATTTGCAAAATCCAGCCGCAATCCTGAGAAGAGTCCAAAAATCCTGAAATCTTCGGACTAATCCTGAGATATGATAACCCTACCAACGAGGTCATTTTCCATCCTCGCTCATGGCATGGTTGGGAGTTTCTTAATGGGGCTTAACAGAGGTACATTTTTGTGAGAAAGGTATAAAAACGAATGCAGTTGTGTATCAAAATACAGTCCTGATGAACCTTGTGCAACCTGTTTCTCATACCATATTCAATAACAGGCACTGGGTATTCCAACAAGATTCGGCGCCAGCTCATAGAGCGAAAAGCACACAAGCCTGGCTGGCGGCGACTTCATCCGGCACGAAGACTGGCCCTCCTCCAGTCCAGATTTGAGTCCATTAGATTACAAGATATGGCAACACTTGGAGGAAAAGGCGTGCTCAAACCATTGCCAATAAATTAAAAAAAAAGGCGTGCTCAAAGCCTCATCCCAATTTGGAGTCACTCAAGACATCCTTGATTAAGGCAGCCGCCGATATTGACATGTCAAGGTCCATGGACCTCGTTCGTGCTGCGATAGACGACTAGCCGCGCAGATTGAAGGCCTGTATTCAAACTCTCGGAGGACATTTTGAATAAACTGTATTGTCATAAGAATCTGTTTTCTTAAGTTCATTTTGGTATATAAATGGTTAGATAATGAATAAACTTGTTTCAATTATTTTATATTAAACATGTGACAGAATTTATGACTTGACTAGGTATAAACGAATATTAAACGTTGACAGATCATTTCAAATTAGCTCACAACAGCCCGTTATTGAGACAACTTAGCGATCGCAGCGCCTCACTATTTCGTCCATATTTCTGGGACACTATTTTCTACAGCGATCGTTCTCCTTCTCTCTAACCTCCATGGTCCTTATGACACGGCCATCAGGGCCGCGGTAGCAGAATGGTCAGTGTTTTCGCCCGGATAGCGAAGGGTGCGGGTTCGAGACCCGTCTGCTGCATGGTCCGCATAGTTTTTTTTTTATAGTAAACTTTTCTTTAGATTTAAACATCTAGCAGTTAAATTCTTAAAAAACCGGCCAAGTGTGAGTTGGACTCGCTCACCGAGGGTTCCTCCGTCAAACCTGTAGGTATATTTTAATAATTATTAAAAAATATTTTTTATTTTATGAACGGTTTTCGCAATGTTTCCTTTATCTTTACCATAAGACGTTACTTCGTACCAAATTTCAAGATTCTAAGTTCACGGGAAGTACCCTGTAGATTTTGATTCCCGTGCGAGTTTCGAAAATTTGCGGCATTAACGGCTGTATCTTTTGATTGCTTTGGCTTAGAAGTTTGATTTTTTCACAGCTCTAAGGGACAATAGACCTGAGTAGTAGATGAATTTCAGTTTGATACCTCCACGCGTTCCTGAGAAAAACGGTCTTGACAGACGGACGGACAACAAAGTGATCCCATAAGGGTTCCGTTTTTTTCCTTTTGAGGTATGGAACCCTAAAAATATAACTAGATTGCTATTTCTTCTTCTTAATGTTTTTTTTAATGGCAGGACACGGTTTGTTTGTTTGCATTGTCAGTGTCAAAGTTAGGTAGTTGGAAATGGATGCAGGTTGGATCGGAATTTAGAGGATAGGATCAGGAGACAGACTTTGTTTTTTAATACAAATGTACATACATAAAAAACGGATAAAGGGAAGATTACACTCTTATATTATTTAACATTATGAAATGCTATATAAATCGATATAAAAAGATGCTATATAAATCTGTAAATTATTAGAGAAGAGCCCGTGAGAATAGTAGGGTTATTACTGATGTTGGAATAGAAAAATCTCAGGAAATGAGGTCATTTAAAAAAGAATATCGATCGCATAGAGGGCACGAAAACAGGATGTGGTTAAGATCCCGTGTGGCTATTCCGCACCCGCAAGCAGGATCACTGACAATTCCAAGCTGAGGAGATGTCTTGCTGTAGTAACATATCCAAGTCTCATGCGCGTTAATGTGTAAGTAGCAGTCTTACCAATTTAGCTTTACGAAACCATGACTTTAAAGGGATAGTAGGCTGTATCGTAAAATAGTATTTTCCTTTTATTTGTGCACTACTTGTCCAACTCGTAAGCCATTCACTTCGCAAATCGCACAATGGTAGAGATAGCATGTCACGGCTATAACATTTTTAAGTAATCACGTCACCACAATGCACTGCCTCTTTGCCTTACTGGTCGGATTTTTCATTTCCCTGAATTCCAATGTGACTCGGGAGCCATGCAAACTCTAGCATTTATCCCATTTCCATGCATTTATTTCGAAAATTCCTCATTTTGATTTGGTAAAGAAAGGGAATTTATTTAGGGCTTGTGCGTGCTCTTCAGAGCACTCATCGAATCGCAAAATATTACAGTTTTTTCGGAGTTATATAGGTAACAAAGATGTATTCAAAAACCAATACATTCTCCGGTAAAAACAAATGTTTCCGGAGGAAGTTTAGTTTTTTGGACAAAAGTAAACTCAGAGTGAAACACTCCTACACCTTTACACTCGGACGGAGAGGACTTAAAAGCATCAGTGAATATATGATGAAAGTCGTTATATTCAGCATCTATAATAGATTTGAAGTTTATACCAGGGTGTGCATTGTTTTTATCAATTAAATCATATTGAATGGTGCTATTTCTAAGGCATCATAATCAATAGTAATTAATGGTTTAAAAAACTAAAAACACGGTTTTACTTACTACACTAAAAAGTCAAAAATAAACAAAATATACTCTCCGTTTACTTC